CCCCAAAACCCCAAAACCCCAAAACCCCAAATCCATTTCCCAAAATTGAAACAAATTTTAAGCAAAGGCTGGATCAGGAAAGAATTCTCAGTTCCTTGGCCAGTATATATCCTCTGGAAACTTCTGGTAAGGTCTTGACATAGAAGACCAATCACCAATCCAGAATCTAAGTGTATTGGAATGCGAGATTATCAGAACCTTTTTCTGACTGGATTTCGAACATCTGGTCTGAATGTAATCCCGGACGTACCTTTTCATCTAAAAGTGAGAATGGAACTTACTGATAGAACTCTATCATAGGCAGAGTCTAGTTCTTCAGGGCTCTGAGGAAACCTTTTCTTCGCATATGCCATTATGATATTCTCAATCTCTTCCTGAGACTTATTAACAAACTGCTTAGTCAAATCAACCTGCATATCTTGGCAAAAGAACAATTCATTGATAGTTCCATCCTGATTTACCATCATACTTGTGTCGAGATTAGGGAAGTAATGTTTGTATTCATTGTTTAGCTTATGTTCCCAGTTCTCTGTTATCTCGCTGTACCCATACAAGAGTTCTCTGAAACCTGGGTGAACAACATATTTTATATCCTCTTTTTGAGGATGAAGTTTTAGCAGATAGTGAGCAGTCTGAAGAGTTCTTCTCATTGGGCTAATCAGGACAAGATCAATGTCAAGTTGATTTGCATACTTTGAGGCATAATTTCATTGCTCTATTCCGAATTCTGACAGAGGTGTGTCTCTGTAAGATTCGTCTTGGAGGAACTCACAGACTTCCTTCCCAAATCCTTTTTCATGAAGCATCTTACTAAAAGAATAGATCGATGAATCACTTACACATAGGCAAGATTGAAAAGAGTATTTGCATGCCTAACTAAGAGAACTTTGGAAGAATTCTGAATATGGTCCATATCATATTGAGGCTCTTCGAAGCCAGCTGGCATTTTAAACTCTTTCCCATTAACTTGCACTATTTTTGAGTACTTTCTGGCGGGATTTTTAACAAGTCTTAGATAAGTTTTAGATATCATATTTTTAATTATTCAATAATATCTGAAAATTTTGGGGTTTTGGGGTTTTGGGGTTTTGGGGTTTTGGGGTTTTGGGG